GATGGCTTCCGTAGTCTGAGTAAGAGATAATGAGTTCTCTTCACAGTTAAACCAACAGAGCTAACACAATTTTGTGAGAAAGGGTTAGAAAACAATTCCATTAAGGACACATTTATTTAGAGGAATAGAGAATTGGGTCTTCAGCATTCAACAAAGTACTATTCCAATTAGTTGACAGTTTTCATACCTGAGATCTTACATGCACTGGCCGTTTTCAAGGAATCTGGTCTATAATGAAATGATTTGCAAGCTGTTCTCAGAGTTGATACTAGTTCCACCACTATGGGTGTTGGGGTGGCAAAAGGCACAGCTCCCAGCCTGGTGTCTCTATTTCAAAAACTTTATGTGTACATGTTTTATATATTGAGATTTTTTGTTTAAAATATCATAGAACCTCCATAGTTGACCTACACTGATCACCTCAAGTTAACCTAAGTTTCATAGACTGGACACGTACCATATATACATGTACGTATCAGTGCAGTTGGCCTTGTTACTTAAGTTGACCACCTCCCTATGTTGACCAGTGTGTTACAGTCTCTTGGGTGGTCAACTTACAGTATTTTTAAAAATGTACATCTTGTAACAAATTTGAATGCTACCTAAATAATCCGATGTTTTAATAAGACTATTGAGTAGCCCTCAAACCTTTTCTGAATTTTAAAATTCTTTGCAATTATTGTTATAACCATTGCTTAAAAATATCATTATGATGATGAGAAAATCAGTGGTCATGGCAGAGCATATCATCTAGTGGTTTAAAAATAATTACCTAAGGGTGGCACCTGTGGCTCAAAGGAGTAGGGTGCCAGCCCCATATACTGGAGGTGGTGGGTTTAAGACCAGCCCCAGCCAAAAGCTGCAAAGAAAGAAAAAGAAAAAGAAAGAAAGAAAGAAAAGAAAAAATAATTACTTGATATAAACCTGTTTTATTCTGTTTGGACTTCTGTTTTTAAACAATTGGGAGTCTGTAATATTCTTTCAAAATCTGAGTACTATTAGCTGTTAGTTTTAATTTCCTAGATTACTGACTCATTTTGCTCGGCAACAATGGGAATAAATACAATTTTATAAAAGTGCTCACGGATCCAAAATGGAAGCGGGAAACTACCCCAAACGTTTTAAAGTGAAAAACCCTCAAGAGGAAAGCATGTCAGACCCACGCTCCACTTGGGGCCAATGATGAACGCAAATCACAGACTTCCTTTTTCTTCTGCCACAAATGTCAGAAACGCTTGGCATCTGAACACGTCACATTTCCCCCCCTTTTCTGAACAGCGCAACTTGGAAAGGTCAACATATCCCTTTGGGAAAAATCTTTTCTTGTAATTTGGAATGTTTGCGCACTTAACTGTAGGAAATGTTTAACATTTGCCTTGACGGAACAGCAATTTATTCAATAGAATGGAATTGTTCTTTTTTTTTTTCCTATTTTCCTGCCTGTTTATATATCACAGGCACCCAAATTACTGAAAGCAACTGGGAGGCGCTTCTTTCTATGGGATCAGATCATCCTGTTCCCCAAACCAGCCAACGCCTTGGGCTTCCGAACGGCAAGCCTGTTTCATCCTTTATTTATTCCAAGGGACTCATTTGTGAGAGACTTTGTTCAGAATAAAAGCAGTAATTTTCCACAGACTATACATGCTGAAACCCTGAAGGAGGAGAGGGAGGGGCAAGAGAAGAAAAGAAAAAAGAATAAAAGCGCCAGGATTTCCTGGATTTTTTTAAACCTTTGTGCAAATTTGTTCCAGTGTGTCTAGGATGGTGGCATTCAGTGTCTTCATTAGTTACTGTTTGAATCTTCTGGTTTATGTAAAGGACACAAGACCTTAAGACACTGTAGCAAGTTGCATTTGGTGATCAGCTGCCTCCAATTTTATAATCAACTTCAATATTTGCGGTGCATGGAGAATTCATTCTAACCACATCCCATCCTTTCTGTTCATCTTGTATGGATGAAGAACCACGCTGAATTGTATGGTTATATTTGTTTCTGTAGCAACAAGCAGATTCCAAAAACAGACATAATTTTTTAAATATAAAAATGCTTTTAGCAATGACTAAAAATAAATATGAGAAGGGACCTTAAAAAAGATATCAGTATCTAAAAAACAGACATAATTTTTTAAATATAAAAATGCTTTTAGCAATGACTAAAAATAAATGAGAAGGGACCTTAAAAAAGATATCAGTATCTAGGTGTTGGTGTGACTGCCCTACAGGAAGGGACTTGAGTCAGCATGGCTTATTATTTTGGGACATTTCCATTATTCTCCTCTAGAAATCATTTCCTTTTCATTTTAGCCAAAGACTTCTACTGCTGACTGGAGATGAAAGACGTATGCTAAGTACAGATGTGTGTGCCCAAGGCATGTGTGTATTCCAACAGAAATGTCCTCTCAGGCACAAACCACCTCTCTCCACACATACATCCTTGTGCCCCGAATCTTCTCTTTTCTCATCTTCTCAAGGACTTCCTTTCTTCAATTAATCATTTCTTGCCTATGTCATCGGTATCTTTATTTTCATTGGCTCAGTCACAAAAGCAAACATGTTCTATCTCCTCTCAATATTGAAAAATAAACCACAGCCTTGACCTCCTATTTCTGTGTAACTACCAACCACTTCTCCACTCTCCTTTACAGCAAAATGTAAGGTATTAGCTGCATACATTTATTTCTACTTTCTCTCTCCTATTCACTCTTCAATCTGCCCAAGTCTGGCATCCATCCTCATTTCTCCAAAGAAAATGACCTTGATAATGTCAAAGCCAATGGCCACAGTATGCTAACTGTTCTCATGTTATTCAATCTCTTGGTATGATTTCAACAGTTGACCACTCTACTCTTCCTGAATCACTTGTTCTCTTCCATGGGGCTTAGTTTTTTGGCTTTTCTTTTCTCTCTCTCTCTCTCTTTTTTTTTTTTTTGCCGTTTTTGGCCATGGCTGGCTTTTTTTTTTTTTTTTTTACACTGTTTCTGGATAATCTCACCTGTTCCCAATAAACATTTGTGGAACGAATTCACTCAACTATTTTTAAACCTCTTTAAACAGCATCAAGTACTGTTAAGTTCCTGGCATACATCTGTGAGCAAGACAGAAAACCAATCTCTGCCCTCCTGGAGGTAATATTTTGGCAGGAAAGATGGGTAATAACCAAGACACCATTAAGTAAAAAAGTGCAATGGGAGTGCAGGGAGTTTCTGAATAAGAATTTATGATCATTTCCAGATTAGGATGTTCCCATGGTTTTAAATAGAAAAGTGAATGCTGAAAAACTCTGATTTTATAACTCTAGCCCTGACAGTGCCCTTGATTTCACATTCACTCTTGACATCTCCACATAAATATTTTAATAGACATTTTGATTGTTTTCCCAAACTTGCTTCTCTTGAACTCTTTCCATTCTCAGCCATAGACACCCCACCATAATCTCCCCTCTGGATGATAATTGGTGTCCGTAATTGGTTTCCCTGTTGTCATTCCCACCTCCCTACAGTGCACTCTGCACCTGGCAGCCATAGTTAGAAAAAGGGAGAACAGATCATACCTGTGTAAAGCGCTGAAGCTCATCAGTGCTCCTACTGTCACCTGCTGAGCCCTCTTCTCCCTCAGCGTCTTTGCAGTTGTCCTTGGCAACCTGTTACCCGTATATTCATGATTGGCTTTTTTTAAATTGTTTTTTATTAAATCATAACTTTGTACATTGATGCATTTAAGGGGTTCAGGGTACTGCTTCGATATACAATGTGAAATGCTTACATTGAACTAAGTAACACATCCATCACAATTATACTCATTTCTTAATAGTTTTGAAATGTACCATTGCAAAAAACAAACAAAATGATTGGCTCTTTTTCATCCATTGGCACCAATATTATTTCTTCAGCCCCGTGTTTCCTTACCTTCACCCTTGTCACTCTGGGTCTAAATACCTTGTTCATAGCCTTTGAGTACTTACCACTAAACGAAACCATCTTGCTCCTTCATCGGCACGCTCCGTCTCTCTCACACACACAGGATGTGAGCTCCTTAAGGGCAGAAACCTCCTCTGTTTCCTTTCCTCTTTGCGGTCCATCCAGTGAAATGCCTAGCTAGCTTGTGAGAACCCAATAAGCATTTGCTGCATGAATTCATTCAACAAATATTCTTAAACCTCCCATCATGGGTCAGGTACTGTTCTAAGTTCTTGACATACATCTCTGAGCAAACCAGAAAACCGATCTTTGCCCTCACAGAGCTAATGGGTAATAACCAAGATACAGTTTCTGGGTGAGAACTTTGGATATTCTCTAGGTCTCTTCCCTTTATGTGGTAAGACAAAAAAGGCATTTGCTTGGCAGACATCTGAAAGCCTGGCTGTGGGGATAAACTCGGAGATCCCGCACAATCTTCCTCTTTGAGGTTTAGCTCCCTTATCCACCAAATAGAATAACCACCTTATAAGGTTGGTGTAAGGAATAAATGAATGTAGATCAAATATCCTCTTTTCTCCTCCAGCCACTGCCCCCTACCCTATCATTCCCAGGGAAGAAGGTCATATGTCTCTACCAGTTTCTCCCTCATGTGCTTACAAATTAGCCCACCTTTCCTGAAAACACTCCACATGTGCTTACTGAATAAACACGTAGATAAACGAATGTGTCAGTCACTTAAAAGCAAATAATCAAGGGCTGCGCCTGTGGCTCAAAGGAGTAGGGCTCTGGCCCCATATGCCAGAGGTGGCGGGTTCAAACCCAGCCCTGGCCAAAAACTGAAAAAAAAAAAAAAAAAAGTAAATAATCAAAGCTGTTATTATTTAGAAATGATGGTTTTTATATCATTGTGAGAAATCTGCATCTTAAAAAAAAAAAAGAAATCCGCATCTTTCCTTAACAATTATTTTTCCATCTTTCTCATTTCTTAATTCCATCTTTAGAGACCCTTATTAATGAAGATGGTATTCGTTTTCTGCTTTTCATTTACTCTTTGTTACACACAGAAGTAAACTCACAGACATTATCTTACAGGAGGATAAAACATTTATTTAGATGGAAACACTCATCTTTATTTTCATCATGCTAAAGTGTGTGGTTACAAACAATTTCCAATAAAACACTCTATATAATAGGCCAAAAATAAGTTAGTACAATGTAAACTTACATAACAGTTTCATCAATTAACAGGTTCAAGAACAAACAAGCCATTTAAGACTTCAGAGCTACATTTAGTAAAAAATTGCAAACACTCAAACTTTATCAACCCCAAGTAAGACACTAAAGAGCTATTCAAGACTTCTTCAAACCAGTTACACAAATATATTTTTATTTTTGGTTACAGTCCCCTGCTATGCACAAGACCATTGGAATGCTGAACAATTACACATTTTTAAAACGGCACGAAGCAAAGCAAGGAGATAACATGCCAGCCTTAGAGAAGCTGTCTTCAAAGTGCAAACTTTGCATTTTCTCTTCCTGAACCACTAGGATAAGAACGGGTACCTCGGACGACACGGCAGGGTCACGAGCATGCTTTCTATAACCGTACTGGTGGGACAATTACTGGAATCGGGCCTCCATGCCTGTGAAGATACCTCCAGTTTTAAACAGTGAAGAGGCTTCAATGAAATATAGTGCAAATCAAATACCGAGGAGCAGAACGACAGAAGAGAGACCGCCACGGACCGACCTCCTACGCCTGGCACAACCCACACGGGACAAATTGGCACACGGTCACAACGACTCCTAGCTAAGTTTTGATATGGAAGGCGGTGCGGCGGAGCGAGTGCAGGGCGACCACACAGCAGCCCCGCAGCAAGGCTCCAATGTTATAGACAGGATCTGTCCCCCCCCTCTGAGTACTGAATACCCACAGAACGGTGGGGACCACGGGGGCAGCCACAGCCAGGAGATCGACCAGGAAACTGCGGCTCCAGTACTGCCTCGCGCTGCCCTGCGGCAGCTGGATGACCCCATCCAGCCTTTCTTCCGTGCAGGCTGCAAAATCCAGCTCTCTCATGAGGTGGCTGGCGGGGGCATCCACATCCACCGGGGCGGGTGGGGTCTCCACGGGAGACAGAAGGATGGCCGAGTTTGGATTTCTTGGCGTCAAATCGACCACTAAGGCAGAGAGGGACTCCAGGAAACTCTCGTTGGAGTCAGGCCCAGACTCATCAGGAGATGCGGAGCTCGAGGGACAAGGGTCCCGGAGCTGCAGCATATTCTGAATGAACTCCAGCACGGCCGGGCTGTAGGGCACCACGTCGGTCTGCACGGCCCGCTCCACTGCCACACTGCTGGCCTCGCCACACACCACGGGGAGCGGCTCCAGGACTTCAGCCTCGGGGCTGGAACCATCAAGCTCCAGGTCACCAGATTGCATGGCCGCGGCTGTCACCATCTCATCAAACAGATCTGCGCTGTGGGTCGCGCTATCTGCCACCAACAGCTCTCTCTCAGCCCCTTCCTCCATGACCTGCTCCTCCGGTGATAAGCCATCTGCCACCTTGACAAGAGGCGGATTCAGGGTTAAGCTTTTCTCAGGGGAATCGCAGGGAAAGTCCAAGCACAGTTCATCCCTCAGAGAGCCACTGTGCGCCATCTCCATGCTCTGAAGCAGAGACTCCAACTTCTTGTTTTGAATGTTGATGTCCACAAAATATTTCTGAATGCCTTTATCTTTATCAGCCAAACTGCTCCTCATGGTTTCAATGACCTGCTTGAGCTGTTTAATCTCTTTCCTGGCTTCTTTGAGTGCCAACTGGGCCTCCACCCGGTGGCACTCTTCCTCAATCCAGTCTTCCCGCATTCGGGCCAGCTGGGACTTCAGCTCCACAATTTCAGTCTCCCTAGAGTGCCCAGACAAGCATAGTTAGAAATAAACGTCAAGTCTGAACCAGGCGACAAGCAGTTCAATCACACAGCCAAGAGCCCATACTTTTCCACTCGAAGGACAGAAGCTAAATCAGTTTTGGAAATTTTTTCTTTGGCAGGTACTAGCCATGAACTTCTTCCTTGAATTGTAAAATGGCTAACGTAATAACAGTAATCAGATTCAGATTCAAAACAGCTATCATTTCCTTTTTCTTTTTTCTTGAGTACTCAGGACATTATAAGCTTTATCTTCTGCTCACTATGTAACATTTGAAATTTTATTATTGAAACCCTTTAGAGTCTCTTTTATCTTTGAGAGGTATTTTATTTTAGAGATACTTTATTTTTATTTGAAACATATTTTAGAGTTGCTTTTATCTCCATAAACTTCCTGTTCTTAATGTATATAGTTTCAAGGGGGAAAAAGCTCACTTAACTTTTAATTACCTATTAAATAAAGACAAAATGTGGACGGAGAAGTTTTACCCTTGAAAAATGGTTCTTCTTTTATCCCATTGGTAATTAGACATGTTTAAGTCATAAAATTCTGCTTGACTTTGTGAAAATCTGTTTATTCTGTCTCTTTTCAGGTAAGATAATATTGAATTCATCCTACACTGAGGAGAAGCTATCCCACTTTTTAGATCCTTCACAGGAAGATCTTTGTCAAGAAACTTGTGCTTCTATGTAATTTCTTCACAGTCAGTGTAAATATGTGTCTCCAATGTCTATGAAGACCAGTCAGGATTCACATAATACATAAAGTCACGTTAGCAATGGTTCTTTAAGTTTGGGCTTGAATTGTTTCTCACGTTTTGTGCTCTCCCACTGCTCCCTGCTTTGAACGCTCAAATTCTCCCTTGGTGTTTTCAAGTCATAAACTAAACATTCCAGAAAGTGGGATCTAACTCATCCCAGAGGTGAGTTTGAGTCCCATGCCTCTTTTAGGTATTTAGGGAACCAAATCAATATGGGAGATGGAGAATGTCCCTCTTCCCAGCCTGCACGCTAATGTGCCCATGGTTTTATCAACCAAAGTCCCTGGGTCTTCTCCAGATCCACAGAGAAGGAGATTTGGGCTGATCAGGTAGCCACGCGCTGAATCAGACCTCAGCTCCCAGAGAACGCAAATGGCCGTCCCCGTGAGCTCACAGCTAGGCTGATCAGAGCTCTTCTGGACTGTCCCAAAATGTTCCAGGGGGACACCATCAAGCAGAAAAACTGGCCTGCCCCTAAAATGCTAAAGGTCTTCTCTCTGAGTTAAGATCTCTTACACGTGGGCTTTTTTGTTTGTTTATTTTTTTTAACTTTTAACACTTGGCCAAGACTAACAAACCTCTTCCTTCAGCACAGAAATAGCTTTCAGGAATCACAATGCAGGCAGATATCCACTCTGGCACAGAGATAAACAGGGTTTTAATTGGCCCATTGTGTGTGACCCATTCTGCGGCCAGCGTAAGATTGTTCCTGCAAGTGTTTCTATCATTTAAAAACAGTCCTGCACACACCCAATTCTTCACGTCAAAGCTGCATGCACACACAGAGAGCAGAGGTTCCCTCTAATGCAGGGGTCCTCAAACTTTTTAAACAGGGGTCCAGTTCACTGTCCCTCAGACCGTTGGAGGGCTGGCCCTGGGACAAGTCGGCTGCTAAGCAGGACAGGCAGCAGCAGCAAAAACACCCAGCGGCCAGCTAAATGTCCTAGGAGGGCTGCATGTGGCCCGCGGGCCATAGTTTGAGGATGCCTGTTCTATTGTATAGGGCCGTGTGACTCCTGGAACAGCCAAATCGCAGGGTTATGAAAAAGCACCATTCAAAGACTGGTTTTAAAAATCTGACAAAAGTTGAAATGAAATCTTTTTTTTTTCTTTTCTATTTCCCTATAGTTTGGATTCACATTTCATTTTATAGAAAATAAACTGTCTTAAACCATACTTAGCAAGGCATGCAGGCTCACCTCTCATGAAGTCGGCGCTCGGATTCCTTCAGCTTGGTCTTGAGGTGTCTCACCGTAACCTCTTTCTGCTGCAGAGGAGTCAAATACTGCTCTGGATTAGGGGGTCTGACACCATGATTTTCACCACAAGACATGTATCTTCCTGACCTCCTGAAACAATCCAAGTCGGGATATGTTACTGTTTTACCGTTTCCTTTTCTATACAAAATAAAGTAATACACAATGCTACAGTAACACACAACGTGTCCCCTATTCCCAAGAAGGTAGGACCTCTGGGTAGTGATTAATAAGAGTAGAGACCTCATAAATGGGTTAGTGCCCTGTCTGAGGAACCCTGGAGAGCTTTTCTTTCTAACTTAGGAGGATACAATAAGAACTTGGCAGTCCACATCCCAGAAGAAAGCCTTTCCCAGAACTAGACCATGCCAGAGTCCTGATCTTGGACTTAAGTCTATAGTATTTATTCTATGGTGCTCAAAAGAGTTGGACCAAAGTCTACGGTACTTTGTTGTAGCTGCCTAAACTATTAACAAGACACACAACTAACAGCTTGAGAAAGAATGGCAGCTGTGGGCTGGGTCTTAAACCCCAGTAACTTGTGACCTCCCTTCAGAAGGTAAACTGTAGTACACTTGCCTACCTTGGGAGTGTTCATGACTTGGAAGGCTGAGGGGTGTGGGTTTGTGGAGGGGTGGGGATGGTAGAGAAGGAAGGTTTTCTACAGCTTAGGAATGTCCTCATATAAAATAATACACAATTGTCTACAGGCTGAGCGGTCAGCCAGGGTAACTTGCAGGACAATGAGTGGGAAAGGTGGGAGGGATGGAAAGGAGCAAGACGACCTAACTTCCCACCCAGCATGCTGCTGCCTCAAGATCCTGATTGTTACTAGATGAATTCAAATTGTCCTGACACCCATCCCTGACGTGAGTGTGCTGATCTGGTGGAAATGGAAAGTTCCTTCTAGAGGGAACAAGTTCCTTCCTCTACTCCATCCACTCTGACCAGGGTGTTTTGCACAGAGGAGCTCAGCATTCTATAAAACAGCCCTGACTGGAATCTTGGCCCTGCCCAGGCCTAGCCAGAAGCTGGGCATCCCTGCTGTAAGAGAGCTGACTTAGGAAAGCTGTAGGGAGTCCCAGAAGGCAGAAGACAGAAAGAGGAGGGCTGCCAGCTCCTTCCTGACTCTGGGCCCAATCCCCGCCCCTGTGCAGCCGGCTCCCTGAGGTGTCCAGTGTCCAGTTCCCGCTGGTCCTGGTCCCCTGGGATGTGCAATTCCTTCTTTCTGCTCTGCACCCACGCCATTCTATTGACTCTCTGCTGCCCGTCAGATCTCACTGCCCTTCACTCCCTCAGGGGGGCCTCCTCTGATCCCTGCAGACTACCGGACCCCCCTTCTACCTTTCAGCAACTCATAAGCAACAAGTGCCCGCCAGGTAATTGTGACATGTTTTTATCATTAGATGGCTAACGTCTCCCTTTCCCCTGAGCAGTGAGCACAGGAACATTCTCCCTTACTGCTCTCTCCCCAGTACTGAGCTCAGTTCCTGGGACTCAGTGAGTCTTTGGATGCATGGATAAGTGAGCATATGTAAGACTCTTCCTTGTTCTCAGGGAAACCAGTAGGTCCCTCCTACTGCCACTGTGCCATTTCCCCACCCCCCACCTCAGGCCCAGGAACTGCCTGAACTCCACACCTTGTTAAAAACTGTGGCCTGTGCCCTTTCCGTACCAGCTGGTGAAGGATTAGCTGAGTGTGGGAAAAGGAAAATAAAGTGTGTTGTTGCAGAGTAAGGCAGGGGATCAAGAGTTGTAATACATTTTTATTTCTTTTTCTCTTTCTTTTGAGATAGAGTCTCACTCTGTTGCCCCAATTAGAGTGCAGCAGTATCATCCCAGCCTAAAGCAACCTCAAACTCCTGGGCTCAGGCACTCCTGCCTCAGCCTCCTGAGTAGCTGAGACTACAGGTGTTCACAATACCCGGATAGTTTTTCTGTTCTTGGTAGAGATGGGGTCTTGGTCTTGCTCTTGCTCAGGCTGGTCTCAATCTGAGCTCAAATGATGCTCCTGCCTCAGCCTCCCAGTGCTAGGATTAGAGGCCTAAGCCTCTCCACCCGGCCATTTGTGTTTTCCCCTTTAAAGAAAAGCTTATCAAGTAGGATGAACTAAGGTTAGGAGGTGAACAGGACTCACCTCATGATTGGGCTGCAGTCACTTCCTTTGTAGGAGCCCGAGTTGCTGCTACTTGGGGAAGAAGGTGCATAACTGGGGTGGATGTTAACGGGGCTCAGCTGATTCCTGCACAACATGGACAGAAGGTCCTTCTCCCGTGGGGACGGTGGGCTGCTGCCAGACTTGTGGGAAGAAGTTCCATTACTCCGCCCATGGGGACCTCGACTGGGAGCAAAGCACAAAAAATGTTAAAATCCTTGGGGCCAGGGATGGCCGACTGCTCACACCTGACTTCTTCTGAAAGCTAGTTACGACTAAGGAAATCCAACCTAAAGGGGCAATGTATTAGGGCAGACTATCTAACATCTTATTACTATTATCATTGTCCGTGCAACTCTATTCAAGGGCCACCTTCTTCCCACCTGTCTGGGATTTTCTTTCTGTGTATCATTTGCACAAGCAACCTCTCCCTTTGTTGTTCTTTCGAATAGTTTCTGACCATAGAGCTTGTTTTGGATTAAGCCCAATTGCGTGCTAAGAACATACACAATGTGAAATGTTGATTTGGCTTAGGTTTACTTTGGAGGCTGTTTTGAAGATGTGGTTTTTGTTCCAGTACACCTGTTTCAGCTTAGGAGTATTTGGCTTTGGTTCATGTTAGGTTAAGTAAAGTTAAGGTGGCTCATTTGGAAGATGGAAATAAGGGAGTTCCCTTTAAAAGGAGGAGAAAAACAGGATAAAAGGGGCCCACGTAAATGTATCAAGTCTATAATTTTGACCACTTAGATTTTTATCCCCATTAACACTGCCTTTATCATTTAACTGCTGAAATGCGGTAAGACCCCTCCCACCAACCTTGGTTCCCTTGCCTCTTGCCTGGTCTTCATCAGCAGGAGGCTGGCCTGTGGCTGCAGTGGCCTTTCTAAAACGGAATTGGAATATCACTGCCCTCCTCAAAGCCCATCTGTAGTTCCTCAGAATAAAGTCCTTGCAATGGCTCCCAGATCTACCACCCCATCCAATCCTATGATCCCGTTCTCCATCCCTCCTCTCTCCTCCTGCTGTGGTCCAGCACTCCAAACTGACTTACAGTTTCCTGAAGGATCCGTGCTTTCAACTATCTTTACATTTTTAAACGTACAATTTCCTTTGCCTAGAATGTTCTGCTCCCTTATATAAGCCCCTGGATGATTCCAGGATTTCTCCTACTTGGAGATTGACAGGAACCTCCTCTAAAAAGCCATCTCTGACTTCTTCCTTCTCTTATCACACGGGTTACAACTGCCTACTTGCTTGTCCTTCCTGCTAGCCTGGCGCATCCTTGGGGGCAGGGACACAGCCTGTTCTTTGTACCCGCCATGACCTTCTGGCACATGGTGGGTGCTCCCTAAATGACTGATGAGTAAACAAATGAGGTTTGAGTCCCTGGCAGTGCCACTTACCAGGAACTTAGGTAAGGAAGCCACTTAACATATGGGGATGTGGATTACACACAAATCTAAGAACGCATGTAAGTGCATTTCATAAGTGGTTCAGGACAACTCAGCTGGCGGCATTGTTATAGGATAAACTTGTTCTGACTTCACTGTTAATCCAGTTCCAGAGATTTGACACCTACAGTGTAAGGAAGCGTCCTGAGAATGTTGAAATGACTAAAACAAGGTAATAGTTCCGTGTCAGGATTATTACTTGAGGACATTACAAAAAATACAAGAGAACAAGATACCTTTCATGTAGTAGTACTTCTTTTTAATAATCTCTCCCTTTGCAATGTTAATTACAGAGGTATCCAACTAACACATGTCAATGGGCTATGTGTGTAGATGGGAATGCGTGCATGTATGTGGAGATACTTGGCTTCAACACTGTAATCAGTTATTTAAAATCAGATACAATTTCAACTGGCTTTCACCCTAGCAAATCACACATAAATAAGACATTGCCAAATTCTAGAGTTAAAAGTTCTTTGCTTTTAAAATCATTCAAATGGACTCTCTTTCCTTTTCCTGAGGACACTTTATACAGAACAGATGGGCTGATGGCTTCGTGACAAGCCCGCTTCAGCAGCCCAGGGTAGAAAGAACTTCATGAGGAGCTGAAAGGAACACGCACCCTGGCTTGGATTCTCTTTTCCATGCTTCACTTCTAGGTCTGGCACCAACCAGACGGACTATTTCTTAATTCTCCATATTTCTCATCGTCACATTAACTATTGCAAGTTAGGAAAGAATGTAAAGAGCTATCCCTGGTGTTTACTTGGGGAATTCCATTCCACCTTAACCTCTGGCAAGGACCTTCAGTCACCCTAGGCTTACTCCAGATGATTTATGAATATTGTTTAGAAAATAAATTATTAGACTGTTTGTACTTGCTAACTTTTTGAAAAGAAACATGCTCAAATTATCCATTCTGTTCCTTTCATTTAGTTTAGTGCAAATGCGAACACATATGGGTATAAACTCTACATCGACGATCATAAAAAGCATTTTCAAAGAAGACGCTGGAATTCCATGCATGCCACCCTCCTCCTTGGTCTGCTGGACGAGAATAATGCAGTCCACAAAGAGTTCTGCAAATTCTGCTGACCCTGCACCCTTCTGCAGACCCAGATGCAGTAACCCGAAAGCAAGAGGAAAGAAGTGAAGAAGGAAACCCCTTGGGTAACCCAGCTGAATGTCTAGACCCCAGCCAGGGCCCTTAACTTTCAGGTACCAATACGATCACTGTCATTATCATCCTCCTCATCACGATTGTTGTGAGTGCTGAACTGCGCTCCCTCCTAAAATGCAGCCCTACCTCCCAGTATCTCAGAGTGTGACTATATTTAGAGAGAGGGCTTTTAAAAGAGATAATTAAGTTAAATGAAGCAGTTAGGGTAGGCCCCAGTCCAATTTAACTGGCATCCTTAGAAGAAGAGATAATTTGAGCAGACATGACTGGAGAGGAGACAAGGTGAAGACAGCCTTCCACAAGCGCCACAGAGAGGCCTCAGAAGACATCGATGCTGCAGACACCTCGACCTGGAACTTCCAGCCTGCAGATTCATGAGTAAATAAATGCCTGTTGTTTAGGCCATCCAGACTGTGGTCCTTGGCTGTGAAGCCCTAGCAGACAAATATCATCTCCATCACTGTGATTGCCACCGCTACAAGCAGAAGCAGAAGCATTGTGGCTGTTAGTATTACTTGTACCATCACTGACAAGAACACCCACTTACTGGCCTTTTCACTCAATTCTGGGCACTGTGTTGAGCACTCACCCATAGCAGTTCATTTAACTCAGTGAGGTATGTGCTATTATTACCCCACTTTCCTGAAGAGGAAACTGAGGCTCGGGGTCATAAACATAATGAATAGTGGAGGCTGACCTCAAGTCCAGTTTGACTCTATATCCCAAGCATTTTTTTTTGTGTTCTCCCTCTCAGTTCTATCCGCTTTTCAATAGATAATGGTTTTAGTTTATTAAAGAGAATTCCTTAGAAATATCATCAGAGGTGGCCTTCTATTAAACCAGATAATTTGTAGGTCTCTAAGCTTTTGTTTCCAAAATCACCTGTGAAAACGCTCCCACCCACTCTGCCTGTTCCTCCTGTCTCCCACCCAGCCTCCCTCCCAGGACCTACTTCTCCCTAGTGAAAGGTCACTCACCATAGGAGAAACCAGCCAATTAAAAAAAATCTCAAGCTACTACCGAGTTTGGTATAGATTTTTTTTAAAAGTCGGGATAATAGAATATTGCGAATATCAATTTTTCATCTATTAATTTTTGTTAAACCAGGAAGTTTTTATTGCTTGGCTACAATACATTCTAGGCTAAGCATATAACTGATTTGCACATAATTCTTTTTACTTATTTCATATCATTTTTGATCACTTAAAGATCCCATGAATTTCAGACTATAATATTTTCTCTCAGTCACTCCGCACGACTGACGTGACCACAAAGACCAAGTCCTTTGAAATATTTAATACAGCTGGCTTCTCCTAGAAGTCTTCCTTTTTTTCATCTATGTTCTTTGGGATCTTGTACTATGGGTACGTGGCAATTTCTTGAATGGGCTAGATCAGTGGTTTTCAACCTTTTTTATTTTATAGAACACTGGAATCTACAGGTAAGCTTCCATGGCATACTTAAATTATGTTCATCTGAAGAAAGAGTAAAAAAAAAAAATACTTACTGTACTTTGAACTTATTTCAAGAATAGTTTAATGAACAGGCCTTAAAAATTTTGGAGGCATACCTAAGATGTGTGCCATGGCACACCAGTTGAAAAAATCACTGAGCTAGATGAATGGTTTATTCTCAGAGCAAGCTACTCTGATTTATACAGAGAGTATTTATATTCATGCCCTGTAATCCCAGAGGCCCTTTATCCAGGGGGTGTGAGGACAGAACAATGTGCCTTTTTTATTGTGGACCTCTCTCTTTTGTTATGGATTGGTCTGGCTTCAGCTTTATTTTTAACAATAAACTTGCACCCTGGGGGTCTCAGGTCCCTTTATAAACATTGGCTAAATCTTCTACTCAGCCAAGAAAAATAAGAAATATTTGCTTGCCAAGTCCTGGAAATATAAGCTTTTAGAATTTAAATGGTTTTTCTCTAAAAAAAAAAAAAAGACTTTAAAGAATCATTTAGTCCAACCTCCTTTTTCCAAATAAGGACACTGGACAGGACAATCAAGTTGACTTGATAAAGCCAAGAACTGAGATGCCCTCGGATGCTGTGGCTCATCCATCTGCCTTCAAGTCCTGCTCAGGGCACCTCGCCAATGCAGCCCCCTGGGACAAGCCAATCTAAGGCACATCACTCTCTCTCCCTATGTGTTTATTAAAATAATTATATTATTTATCCATTTATTGTCTTTCTTGCCCTATTAGGATGAATATAATTTTCAGGAAGTTTTGTTTCCTTATCACAGGTGCTCAGTTAACACTTGTTGAATAAATCCATAAACCCAGTGGTGGCAGGGAGGGAATCCTGGGGCTTACAACTCTTTCCATTAAATGTGAACCATGGCTCTCATTTCCCATAGTTCCTCTTTCCCTCAAATTAAATAACATTGTCCATGGTGACCTTTTACTAATGCTTACTATGTACCGACCCAGACTTTATGAAGTGAGTGGTTCTATTATACAGATGAGCAAATGAGGCATAGAGAAGGTCAGCAACTTGCTCAGAGCCATATGGCTCATAGATGGTGGCATTTAAACCAAGGCAGATGGTGTCAGAGCCCACATGGGTATGGCGTCTCATAGTAACAGCCAACTGCACACTATGAACTTGACACTTTCTTTACTGCTTCCCGGGTTAAATGCTGGGAGTGGTCTGAGGATAAGTATGTCCTTCACAAAGAGATATAATGGAAGCCCAGCCAGAGGAAAGAATAAATTCATGAAGGGGAGGCAGGGTGGGAAGTGGAGACTAGTAGCTTATTCTACTGGTGAGTACACAGGCGATTAAGGGAGAGAGAAGGAACAGGAGGAGGGTGGACACGGCCAGGGGCTGGATCAGAGTCAGCCACGGTGGACAAACAGGCAAGCCACGTGACAACACTAGGTAAGGCAGGAAAATAGCAACTTAGAATCTCTGTAAAAAAAACAAAACCCAAAAACCTCACTGAATACTAACAAAATGCGAATGCACAGTCATCTGGGTGGTTCTACGGCTACACAGGTCCAGGGAAGTCCCCCTGGTGAAGGGTTTTAGTTACACAGCGGGAGACAGTGCCTACTTGCGTGAGAAAGAGGACCTCTTGCTTCCAGCAGTAGACATATGGACCTCTGGAGCGGAGATGCTGCCCGTGCTGCTCGAGGAGCTAAAATCAGCTTCGCTACCTGAAAAACAACAGGGGAGAGAGCAGTGTGAGGGCAGGAAGCCCAGAGCACGCTGGCGCTGGCCGGGGAGCTCGGCCTCCCGTCCCTGGCTCGGCGTCTGCACACTAACTGGCGAGTGCCAAGATTCCAGAGCTGCCAGGCTCCCCGCGTTTTCCTCGGAGGAGACGGGAGAAGGCCCAGCACACGAGGTCATTCCATAAACACAGCTGAGAGCGCAGAAAGGCTGGTTTCACAAGGCAGCTGGGCTGGCAGCAGAGGACCCAGAGCGACCCAAGAGGGGCGGAACGTGGCTCTCTGGTGTGAAGGCTCTCACTCAACCACCTGCCTGCGGCCCAAACTTCAAACAAAAAAAACCCCAGGTCCTTATCAGCGCAGAAGTAGAGAGCTATCTTTGGGCTTTTTGTAGTCAGGTAGTCACGCCTGAATGTGGCATATTATGTCTAGAGACAGTCAACCAGTTAGAAGCAGTCTACCTGCTCACTGACTTTCCCCGACTGTAGAGTCAGTTCTATGCAGACTAGAGCCTTAACAAAAAAACAGGAATTTAACATTTCCAAACATAATGACAGCGACGGAACCTGGGAATTACACTGAAATTTGAAATTTTAGCTTTGGACAAGGGCTAGGACTAAAGTTGTTTAATAGTTCACAAAAATTATGAGTACGGACTAGAACTGGGTATTTAATTATAATGTAACATCCTGTGTGGTAGAAGAATTCCTATAAATGAGTTCTAACAGACAGACATAATTCTGAAAGAGTAACGGTGGAAATATTCCTGTAGATTGCCTTGGGAAGTGAGGTGGGGGAGAAGAGGCAAGATAGAGCAATGGAAAGAAGAAAAAGAAGAATTTTTTTAAAGATGAAATTTTAATGTACTTTTGGAAAATAAATCTAGATACTCAACTTTATTTGACTTTACTAATCAACTCCTACAACACAATTTGTGTGAGGAGCTCACAATTTTGAAACATGGGAAGTCTAAATACTTGCATTTCTAGTGAGTAATGAACACTAATGATCACGATAAGGACTATTTGCTGAATGCCTTCAAGCTCACAGGCCCTGTACGCATCTCGTACATTAAGTGATGATATAGGGCGATGTCTCTGTATCACTTAATCTTGACAACCGTAAGAGATTAATCTTACTATTCTGCTATTGAGGAAACTGTTTCGTCTCAGGCTTGTCAGTGATCAGTCCTGCTTGGGACGCTATCCTCATGCTGCTCCTTCTATGCCACACTTTGTCCTCGGCAAGGCAGTGGGAAGAAGTGGGGGAACAGGAGAGGCTCCTGAATAAACCAACTATGCATTACATCTCCCTAACAGGCCAAGATGCAGCCAGACTCTGGCCCGCTGACAGAAAGAGTCCCCTCCCTGCGGAAGGTAAGCAATGGCAAGGCAGAGTGACAAAAATCCACTCCCCAGTTTTGAGGACCTCGCATGAAGTCCAGCCTCTTGTTGGAAAGAAAACAAGACTGACCCATTAGCAAGATGACAGCAGTGACTCCAAGCTCCCAGCAGAATTCTAGTAAGAGGGGGGTGGCAATTTGTCAGGACTCAGACCAGCTATTCTTTCTGAATTACAGAGACTTTGTTTAATGATGTAATGAGCTCCAAGAAGCTTCCTAAAGTTATTTAGTTGCCTATGAGTAATGCATTGCTGAATTGTAGTATTTTACAACCTCAAGGTCTCCTGGCTGGTAGCGTAATCCAGCATCATGCTAGTCCTAACAGCTTAATTCAGCCTTGTCGGCTAGTAAATTCTCAGGCTGGGTCTTAAATGATAAAGGTGGGCAATTTTCACAAATAGATCCTGTGGCTGCAGCCACCAGGTTTAAGATATTACTTTCTAAGATGAAATTATTACTCTGAAACACTGAGTTGTCATTTCTTAAAAGACACATGAAAAACCAATCAATTATAATTTAACTATCTGCAGAAAACCAGATATTCTAGAACAGCAATAGATTATTGCTAAAAATCCACTGTTACCTCATGATGCTTTTGATCTGTGGTGATGATGTTCTCTGAACTGAAAGGACAACTTTGTTCTGTATTTTATTGCTACTGGAACTCAATATATTGACTCCTAACATATTTGCAGGGCCTAAGGTCATTTTGTTCCAGTCCTTTTCTATCTTATCTTCCACACATGGGAAAGAGAGTAGAAGATACATCCAGGGCTATATTCAAGACCATCTGAATAATATATAGTGAAAAACGTGCATGCCGCTTCACAACTATTTCCAGCTTAGTTAATACAATGTAAAATGAATAGTCTTTTTAAGGATACACAGGAAAGCTAGTTTAAACACATTATCTGATATACCCTCCTCGTTTACTCAAAGCAAAATAACTACGACAAAGACGGGAGACCTGAACCTCCACACACTCTTATCAATTAGTTAGCAACAAGGACATAAGGAAGGCGAGGCACTCTTTATCCATTTCCTTTAAATAGTGTGTGCAACTTAGGTATGGTAGATTTGGAGTTCAACGCTCTTTTGGGTTGCTAAAATGATACACAGAGAATACTTAACCTAAAAAAAAGACCCTGAGTCAGATGGCCTGGATTCAAACCCTACCTCTACTGCTTACTAAATGGGTAACTTAAAAAAATAAAATAAAATAAATGGAGAACTTTAGGCAAGTTACTGCATCTCTGTGCTTTAGTTTCCCAGTTAAATGAAGATGATAATCCTAGCATAGGCCTCACAGGGTGACTGTAAGGAATGAGTGTGCGTATGTGTACAGATACATGTATTTAGGTATAAATATGTATATATACTTGTACACATATGTACCTGTACACATATATTTATAATGTGTGTGTATTTCTTTAGCTAGAGAGAGAAGGAAAACTTAGAAAATCACCTGACCCATCAGACGATCTCGAGGAATGTTAGCTATTACTATTATACTACAGGGCTTAAAATTAAAAATGAAATTTTCATTAAACTCCACACTTCTTGCATAGAAAATTTAGAGAATGACAGTGGTAAAAAGGGAAAACTATAGTACTGTAATTTTATCAACAACATGGAAATACAGTTAATCTTTTGGAATGTAAGTATTTAGCGTCCATATGAAATACATTATTACAAAACTTAGTTTTCCTCTTAATACATCTTTAAAACCCATCACCTTTTGCTTTATTAAATCAATAAATATGTAGGCTATTTCCAATTTTTCTATTATTGGAAACAAATCATACTAAGCATCTTTTACGTAGCAACTCGTATATTTCTCACGATGATACTGCTCCTCTAAGATAGGGCATTATCCATCTTCTTCACAGACAAGGCAGAGAGAAGGTGAATGACTGAATGACGTGCATTACTCATGAGGAAAAAGACCAAACATAAGCCCTTTGACCTCAGTGTCTGTGCTCTCAACACAGCTTAGCGTTCTTTGGGCACACACACACACTTGTATCCTCCTTTGCTGATCTCCTGAAAGGAGGGTGAAATCTTAAAAGTAGAAGTTTTACATCAAAAAATATGTTCAATTTAAAGATAAATTCCCCAGAGATTGTGTGTGGCAACATCATGGCTCACAGCAACTTCAAACTCTTGTGCTCAGGTGATTCTTTTACCTCAGCCTCCTAAGCAGCTGGGACTGCAGGTGCTCACCAGGACGTCTGGCTAGATTTTCTATTTTTAGTAGAGATAGGGTCTCACTTTTACTTTAGCCTCGAACTCCTGAGCTCAAGGGAGCCACCCTCTGTGGCCTCCCAGAATGCTAAGGTCACAGGTGTGACCTCACCAGCCTCCATAAAGATATAGGGAAGGCACAAGCCCAACTCAGTTTTTGTGGCCAAGAAAGTGTTTGCCCTTATCTGTCTGATGTAGATACCCAGTTAGTAAATATCCGATGTCCCTGGGAACACTCTGACAGAGCTTGGGAAACCATTTGGCCACTGAAAGGCTGTTCATGAAAAGCTGAAGGGAATTCAAAAATATGCATCTCCAGGTCTTCCTCATCAACCATCAACACTGTCTTTGGTCCTCATCACTACTATCTTTGATCAGCTGCCCTGGTTGGAGGAGTGGGACTCCAGAATTAGCAGAGAGGATGAATTTGATGACCTTGACCTTTAAGATAACCCTGTGATGCCAAACTCTTGGTAACTAAGCTTCCTATAGTGGAAGGCATTTTTCTAGCTACCAAGGAGCTATGCCCTGTGGCTTCCAGAAATTTTGGTGGATTTTTGTTTGAAAGTATTGCTGAACTCTTTGGAGAGATGTTACTTTTGTTTATAATGCTAGGGTAACAGGCATTCTATGCACGGATGCTAAGGCTGGGGAATTAGAAAAGGATAAAAACAAAAAAATAAGTGGCTAAACTGATAACCACAATTTTTTTTTTTTTTTTTGAGACAGAGCCTCAAGCTGTCCCCCTGGATAGAGTGCCATGGCATTACAGCTCACAGCAACCTCCAACTCCTGGGCTCAAGCGAGTCTCCTGCCTCCGCCTCCCAAGTAGCTGGGACCACAGGCGCCCGCCACAACGCCCGGCTATTTTTTGGTTGCAGCCGTCATTGTTGTTTGGCGGGTCTGGGCTGGGGATTTGAACCCACCACCTTAGGTTTACGTGGCTGGCGCCTTAGCCGGTTGAACTATAGGCGCTGAGCCAACCACACTTATTTTTAAAACACTGCCTGCAATCCAGTCTCTTTGGACGTTATTTTTGCCTGCTTCTGGGAATCCTTGAGGTCCTCACACATCAGAACGTCACCAGCCTCTGAGAACAGAGCAGTTCTGCCATCTCCTAAGCTGTATTCATCCGTTCTAAACCACTGATTTAAGTAACTTCAAATCTTCCTTTATCCTCATCACTGTAAAGCTATCAAATTGATTCAGCTTGGCCACCTATGTCCCCCTCTCAAATAGAGGTAGCAAAATTAAAAAAAGGAAAAAAAATGGTTTCCACCCATTCATCTCCCATCCACCCCTCACAGATATACAGATCTTTTATTTAAAGGTCTCCGGGGAG